ACACAGGTGAGCCACAGTCCCACACCTGAGACACTGGTCAGCTCCAAGACGCCGTGTTAAACTGCACTGAGGAGTCACACAGGTGAGCCACAGTCGCACACCTGAGACACTGCGTTAACCTGCCCCCGGGAGTCAGACAGGTGAGCCACACCTGAGACCCTGATCGGCTCTCCCTGGAGACACTGTTAACCTGCCCCGAGTGACAGGGGACCCCCCCCCAGACCCGGTACCCACCCCCTGATGCGCACACTCTGCATCGCTCTTCAACCTCAGCTTAGACTCATCAAGGTCGAGGGGCTCAACCGACAGACCCCTCCCTGAGGGCAGATCTTAACCCCCCCGTGTCTCCCGCCGCCACCACAGAAAAGCCCCGAGCTCGGACCCGGTACCGCCCGCACAGAACCGCGCCTTCCTCGCCCGCGGCGACGGACCCCACAGGGAACACCCAGGGCAGAGGCTCCTCACCCAGGATCTGCACCTCGATGTGCCGGGGCCTCTCGATGAACTTCTCCACGAACAGGGCCCCGTTCCCGAAGGCGGCCAGCGCTTCCGAGTACGCCCGCTGGTAGTTCTCCTCCAGCTCCTGCACGGACACAGAGACGGGGCGGGAGAGAGATCTGGGTGAAGAACACCTGGAGTCTGGGGCCCCTTGCCTGGAGCACATCTCCATCCCGGAGAGCACCTCTGCCTCTCTCCTCTCGCACCTGAGGACAGCTCCCCAGCCTTTCGGCACAGAGCAAGCCTTGCCCTGCTCCTTCGCACACCAGCAAGTCTCCCGCTGGGTGCAGTACCCCCTACACACCACAGGAGGGCAGCATACACTGCAAGGTGCAGCCCTCGGCAGCCACACTCGCCGTTTTATTTAAACGATGATTACAGGTCAGCCGAGTCGCCACATACAGCTACAATAACAGGATGGACGATGACACGACTGCAGCCTGTCAGAAACTCACACGACACCGTGGACGTGGCAGCCCCCCCAGCCAGGATCAGATAACCGCTTATCCCCAGGTAGACTAAACCAGATCCCGTCCCGGAAACACGGGGAACAAGGCAGGACCACAACCCGGATGGGCGGGACACCAGGCATGCCAGCTGGGGAGGAGAGGAGGCGCTCGGACTCGGGGCCCAGAGGCCACGCACACCCCTCACAGAGGGTGCCCCGGCCTGGTCCGGAATCGAACCCAGGACCCGAGAGCTGTGAGGGTTAACGCCCTGTCCCCCTGCTAGAAAAGGGTAATTGTAACAGTGATAAATGCCGTCAGCTCTCTTCGCCTACACAGGACGGCCCTCCCCCGCCCCCGCTGGCACCACCTCCGACTGGACTATAGCGCCCCCCTGTGGGCTCACTCACCTCGTACCCGCGCACCACTCTCATGCCGCGCCCGCCGCCGCCGTAGGCCGCCTTGAAGATGATGGGGAAGCCGTAGGTGTTGGAGAACTCCTGCGCCTCCGTCAGAGAGGAGAT